CACATCCTGCCAATTTCAATTATATTACATTCTCATAGTTAATTTTCGAAGTGTTGGATTTAGTAGGAGGCCCTCCTCACCTGAACTTTAGTCCCTCCACTTTAGACATGCAGTGTACTTAACATTTTTCCTAAAATTAATGTCCTAAGGCCTTTTCAGAATGCAAGGCCCATCAAAAGTGCAACTTGTGGGATCCCACAATTAGTATTAAAAAAACTTAAAAATTTAATATGTGATAATTTTCTCAGCATGCCATTTGTAGCAAAAATATAAATTGAAGAAAGTACATGCTAGTAAATCACAAAAAAATATCAATGAATTTCATTTAACCCCTTGACGCGCAACATTATTTTTATAATTTTTTTTAACTAAAAATTCTAGAAAATGAATATTATGATCCTAGAGACAAATAATATATGAATTTAAAAAAATCTACTCTTGCCCATTGTTCTGTGGGTGGTGGTCGCCCTGTGAAACCACCGCGCATCTTGGACTTTGAAACTTACCTAGGTAGTAGGGGGGGAGAACTTACCTTTCTCCTTGCGCATTTCCAATAAATGATGAAATTTACGAATTTTAAAAAAATGTATGTAGGAATTGCATAATATATAATTTTTTTACATTATTTTACAAAGTAAATCTCCAGGAAAAATTAGAAAATAACATTTATGTAATTTTTCTATAGCAGTGAAAATTTAAGTACCTACATAATAAGGACGTTTGGCTAAATGGATTAAAAAACTCAGTAAAATAAAGATAAAAAAAGACTCAGTGGTGTTTTTTTTTTTTTTTTTTTTTTTTTTTAAATTTCAAAGAACAAATATTTTTTGTGGCACTGTTCAAAGCATGTTTTGTCTTTTTGGTATATGCATAGACCCACATTGCACGTTTCGCACATGTATCTTCTATGAGGTTTCTTCCTTGTGCAACAAAATGTACACTGCCTGGATCTAAATTTCAGTGGTTTATGTCGAGCGTTATTTAGTTTCTTTTCATCTGGCACATGAAAGTTGTGGTTTTTTTTTATGTTAATTGAGGGGGTGTGGTCTTTTTGGCTTTGGTACAGATCTTTCGTTTTCCATTCATATTTATTTTATTCGTATTTCATCCCAAAATATTCAGAAAATATTTTTAATTTAAATAAAACTTTATGCAATTTCTATTTTTAATTATAGCAAAGTATATTTACATTAAACTTAAACCACATGAAATAATTTATAAAATCACAATACTATAACATGGGGAGCAAGTGTGTTGAGGTCAGAGAAAAGTCTCTGGAAAAGAAAGACCTTTTTACTGGGCAAGTGCATGTATTGTTTAGTAATAAAATAACTCTGTGGTTTCAAAACCCCTTATCTATATCCGGTTAAAAATAAACATTCCAATTTGAGAAGCAAGCAAACGCCATTGTGAAGAACGGCAGTTTCAAGGTGCGACTACCGAGCCTCTAGAGCATTGTGACACATTGCTCTAGTGGTGCAGCAGTCGCTCTCTGAAACCACAAAGCAAATGCCATACATATAGAGGGATTTTTCTGTATTCAGTTTAATTATTGCTATTTTTTATTGTTTATGATATAAATCATGATGTGTGATGAATAACTTTTGAAATTTAAAGTTGTTTATATTAATAAAAGGAAGTTATTTTGTCTCATTGAAAACTAACTTTAAAAGGCATCCGATTTGAAGTACTAAGACCTAAAACATGTATGATTCTGCAGTCATTTTGTGTTATTTGGAGGTAAAAGATCAGTAATCAACTGATTTTCACTTAAAAATTTTGGAAGGAAGAGGAGAAAAAAATTCGAAAATTGGTGGCTTCAAGGCGCGACCACCACATGTCAAAGGGTTAAAGCGAAGAAAAATTCAACCTCAAATTATACTAATTTATTAATCAACCCCTCAAGGCATGTTGGAAATGATACCAAATAACAAATTTTGAAATCTGTTGGACAATTTTGGAGGAGTAAAACATTTTGTATTTAATTTTTATATTGGGTGTGAAATGTTGGATTACATGATTTGTCTCAATTGTTTTTTTAATTTGAATTACCAAAACATGAGTATTTACATAATTAAGAAAACAGTTTTGTAATTGGAAGTATGTGAGTAAAAATTCTGAAATGGGGGATAGCCATAGTAAAGTTAGAGAATGTTGATTCTGGTTCACACTTTAATTTAAACCTTGAATTTTTAAATTTCATCAGTACATTATAATTGTTGATATATTCTGTTTTATCCGTGGGCTGATTCTTGGACTTCTTATAAATAGCAAAAGGACTTTCCTTTATCCTACATGTAAACCCACATCCTTTAAGCTGCCAAAGGAGTGCCTTCATTGCTGAGCTATTTGGAACTACTTACCCACAATTTTTTTTAAATGTCTACTTGATTATCATAGATCCATATACTGGTCTCCTCTTGTAGTTCGAGATAGAAGGCATTATTCTTCATCCACATTGTTTATGAGAAAGCTGCCTACCTATCTGAAATTTCTTTAACCAGGATTATTTCAAAAGTTTTTTTTTTTTAAAAAAACCAGTCTAACAAATACATTTTAGTGGAATTTTGAACACACTGCCTTTTATGCTACTGGTTTCTTTCTTTTCTATTTCATTTGAAACATGTTAATTAATGCTTCTAATCAGCAGTAATATGCAAAAAGAATTTTATTCTTAGAATAAAATGTTCACTCATTTTTATTGCAATGCATTAAACCTTTGCAACAGCCCATATATAAATTAAAGGGCTATTCAGTAAAAACTGTGGTGTGTAGCTTCTTGCAAAACGTTTCATATGACAGAAGGGCTAGGTACAAATATGTACGAGTATTACCCATTTAGCTGAAATGGTTACAAAAATCCGTTCCCTTTCCTGTATTTTTGGAAAGTTGCTTTTTTTAGCATGCAATATTTTGCAGTACCTATGATTCATTGCACTTCTGAATCCATTCACAGCAAAGGTGTATTTTTTTTAGACATAAATCTTAAAACTGTTCATCTTAAAGTAAAATAGAATTTTGGGGGCAGTTATTATGTACGAGGGCCATCCAGGAAGTAGATTACGTTTCCGTCTGTGTCCGCTAGGGGCGGGGCTAGCGCGGCCATCTTGGGGTCAGAGCGTTGCGCAGCTCAGTCTGCATCTAGCCGTGCTAGTGAGAGGTTCGTGCTGTGCTCCGTTCAGATACTGTGACGGTTTGAAATGTCTGCGTTAATTGAAAATCCCGCGAGCTGCGAGGTGCGCTCAGTAATAAGGTTTCTGACTGCAAAAAACTGTAAACCGATAGAAATCTATCGGCAGCTTCGTGAAGTGTATGGGGACAACATTATCACTGAAGGTGGAGTGCGTCAGTGGGTCATAAGATTTCAAAAATGGCCGAACCAATGTTCACGACGAAGATCGAAGTGGGAGACCCAGCATAGTGACCGCCGAACTTCTCGAAAAAAGTCGATGCTAAAGTCCGTGAAAATCGAAATTTCACAATAACGGAACTTTCTTTGAGTTTTCCACAAATTTCGCGAAGTTTGTTGCACTAAATCATCAGCGAAAAGCTTGGTTACCACAAGTTTTGTGCAGGATGGAAGGCAAAAGAAGAGGTAACGAAGTGGTTGAAGGCGCAGGCGGCCGAATTTTTCGACGAAGGAATTTCCAAGCTCGTACATCGCTACGATAAATGCCTTAATTTGTATGGTGACTATGTAGAAAAGTAGTATTTGAGTGTGGCTTTCATCTGTATATAATAAAATTTGTTTCCTATACTTTGTTTATTTTTTTATTCCAAAACGTAATCTACTTTCTGGATAGCCCTCGTATATTAAGGAAAAAAATGTTAGAGTTGCTTTTGTAATGGGCATAAAGTTTCTTGTAAAACAGCTTCTAAATGTGCATGCTGATTATTTAAAAAGTACTTACCTCATGAAAGTGCTGAAAGTAGACATGTCAAATAAAATCAGTTGGAAAGATTTAAAAAAAAGCAATTCCAAAAAGGCCTTAAGTCATTAATTTTGTAAGAAATAGTGTTCTTAAATTGAGGGACCTCTAAAATTTAGGTGAGGTATGCCTCCCCACTAAATTCAACACTTTGAAAATTCAGGTAACTTAGGACCTTCAAGCTTGCATGTCAGCACTTGTCAGAGGAGCAAGTTACTTTCATTGGAGACAGCAGCACACCTGCTCTTTATTCGCTGACTTTTTCCTTGTTCCTGCAGATTGATACTCTTTGAGTATTTCCATGATACACAGTGACAGAATAGTTTATTGATTCTGCTACAATACCTCCAGACAAAATTCCTGGAATAGTAACAAAATGAGACACTCGTCTCTGAGTTCACCAATCTCAAAAATCATCACGTTTCCCGCTGAAAAACGAGAGCTTTTTCAAAATGAAGCCAAAACAGATAATTTCATCACTTTCTTCTTATAGCTTAATATGTAGCTTTGTTCAAGGTCAATGAAAATTGACTTGTAACTAAAATTGGCAGGATGTGCGTTGACCATTGGACAATAAATACCATCTTTAGCTGCGAATGAGTAACGTTTTCACATTACTAGCTAGAGAAAAAAAGAAATTGTCAGGTATCCAAAACTTGTCATGACAGTTTCCACTGCTAATTTTTTGTCTTTTGAATCTTCATAAATCTCTGTTTAGACATAAAATCTGCATTTTGTTTCAGAAAAGCCTATTTCATAACTATGTTTATAAATGTTACACTGTATGTAAATGTAATACAGCTATTGTATGTAAATTTAATACAGCTATTGTATGTAAATCTAATACAGATTTACTGTATGCAAATCTAATACAGCTATCCCCTTCAAATATTAATGCGAAGTGCCATTCTGTACAACATGATGAGAAAAAGCAAATACTGATCCCTCTCAATTTTATGAGATAGCACTTCCTATTTAATAGTCTCAGTCATGAACGCATATTAATATTTTTCACATGAACACTTTGGATAATGCGTAATTTGAATTCATGTTTGAATCATTTCTATTTAGGATATTGAAGACTTGAAAGACATAGTTCTTGAGACAGGGCATAAAGAAATAAGGGAATCTAAAGCTGCATTAAGGTTATCCAACAAAGTAAATAAAATGATTTCAAAAATGGATAAACTTCTAGAAGAACTAACTGAAGAAAGAGAAAACCTACAGCAACAAATAAATGATAAAATGAAAGAAGGTGTAAGTGCTGTGAAAGAAAGGTAAGTTCCATTTTAAATTTTTAGTAAATAAATATTGAGTAGTTATTTTTATTATTAAATCTGTAACCTTCCTGTTTTTTGGAAAGCAAAGTTTTCTTTTGTCTCAAATAATTCACTACTTTTTAAGAATAGTTTCATTATGCCTCTTTCATAGAATTTATACATTTCCACATTAAAGAACATGAGCAACTCAAAGTCAAACAGTTGTAAGAAACATGTAACTGATGTTAATGTCATGACAAAAAGGCTAGAATCATTGATAAGAATAAATACTTCTAATCTGCTGGTTAAAAAGACGCAAATTTTTATCCTTGAGAATTGTCTATTAGACAAACATGTTCCCTTTTTTTAATTTAATTCATTCTCATATTTGTGATTATGACAAATTTCTTTCCTTTTCTTGCTTTAACAATTATTTTTCTAGGTAATTTCTGAGAAGTTGTTCAATTTTTGTAAAAAAATTTGTTTTACGATTTGGAAGTATGTTAGTTATTTTCAAAGAATCTGAAGTTTTATAATGAGACATTGCAGTTGTTAAAAATGTAATTAATACTTGAGCATCTTCTTGAATCCTGAAATCTCTCTCCCAGCAGGCTTTATCAACCATGATTCAGTATTTTATCATTTGATTGTTGACCTTTGAGCTTGACGGATGATTTTCCCCTCGCTGCTGAAAGTGTGAAGGTGAATTTTCCTCTCGCTCACCTCATGGCATATTTTAGGACTAACATAAGATAGCTTTGGTACCAGTTTTATGGAAATGTTATATTGTACTTGAAATTTATAGTACAATCAACATTTTGTACTCAAGAAAAATAAGAAATTTTTGGATTGCAGATAACTTAGGACCTTCAAGCTTGCATGTCAGCACTTGTCAGAGGAGCAAGTTACTTTTATTGGAGACAGCACACCTGCTCTTTATTCACTGACTTTTTCCTTGTTCGTGCAGATTGATGCTCTTTGAGTATTTCCATGATACACAGTGACAGAATAGTTTATTGATTCTGCTACAATACCTCCAGACAAAATTTCTGGAATAGTAACAAAATGAGACACTCGTCTCTGAGTTCACCAATCTCAGGAATCATCACGTTTCCCGCTGAAAACTGAGAGCTTTTTCAAAATGAAGCCAAAACAGATAATTTCATCACTTTCTTCGTATAGCTTAATATGTAGCTTTGTTCAAGGTCAATAGCTGCTTAAAGACTAGCAAGAGATGAACGATCTGTCTGTATGGCAGTTTTCATCGATCTTCCATGTTGTTCGTATCACAAACATTCTTTTTAGCTGTAGACATAACAAAATTTGCCATCAATGATGTTTTTAAAAGGTGTGATAGAAATGGATGCTGTATTTAATAGGAAATTAAAATAAGTTCCTATTAAAAAAAGATAATAGTATCTCATTAATTCTCTCAGAGTTTATCGATTTATTAGCATGTCAGCACTTTATGTCGCCATTTCCGAGGTCATATTAGCCCATTTTTTACGAGAATCATGTTTTACATCGGTTTGCTGTCTCTAACAGTTTGTATTTTGTCTTCTTGTTGCTTTGTATTTGTTACTTTTCTACGTGATTTGAGAATATTGTCATCTATTTTTGAGGAACTCTTAATATATTGTGCATTTAAATATTTGTCGAAAAAATAATAAAGCAAACCTAAATTTTCAAAATGAAAAAAATGGCTAGGATTGACTGAGCAGAAAAGTGACGATCACAGGTGATGGATCCATGGCAATCTACTAGCACTAAGAATACTGAAAAGAAAAGAAAAATTGTTTCTAGAAAATATAATTAAAGTTGTTTTATCATTTGAATTTACTTGAAATGAAGATCAAATGAACTCTTGACCTCAATGTGTTGTTTGCGATGAACCATTATCCAATCTAAAGTGTGCAAGATGAAAGGATAAATCTGAAAAGTATTTTAAGAGGAAATTATCGGAGTTAGACAAGTAATGAAAGGTGTTGCTTCAAATGAAAAAGCTTTGGAAGCTACTTGCCTGGTATGCCTAAGAATTGCTAAGATTGGGCAGGCTCAAACTATTCGAGAAAAAATTATATTATCATGAACTGAAGATATCGTTTTAACATTATTCAATGAAAAAAGGCTAATGAACTTAATAGTATTCTGTTATCAAATGATACAGTAGGTCAATGAATTTATGAAATGACAAATTCCATAAAAGAGACACTTATTAAAAGAATAAAACACAGTGAGTATTTCGCATTGCAATTGGAGGAAAGTACTTATATAACAAACTTTGTCCAATTATTAGTTTACATATATTTTGTCAATCTCTTCATGATAGAACAACTGCAAGGGAAATTTTCAAAGTAATTGATAATTTTATATCTGAGAATGATATTTCTTGGAATAAGTGCATTGCCGTATGCAGTGATGGAGGTCGGCCTTTAACAGGAAAATATTCTGGAGTAATTTCTCAAATAAAGTCACACCTGAAACTAAATTTCCTCACTGCTCCATAGATCGTGTAGTTGTAGTAGCCAAAACTATCCCCGAAAGCCTGAAAATTGTTTTAAATCAAGCTGTGAAAATTGTGAATTTTATTAAAAGCTGAGCTTTAAGTTCGACTATTTATGGTTTTATGCCAAGAGATGGGCAGTGAACATGAAACCCTTTTGTTACATTCTGAAGTAAGGTGATATGCAGAGGCTATACCACCTTACTTAAAGTTTTAAATCATCTTTTTGAAATTCCATCAGAAATGCAAAATTTGAATTGCAAAACATGTTTATTTAGTGAATTATGCTTGGCGCGTTTAGCATATTTAGCTGATATTTTTAAAAAGTTAAATGAATTAAATTTAGGATTAAAAGGACAAAATGTTAATTTGTTAAATGTTGGAGATAAAATAAAATAAAGGTAATGATAAACTCGAGTTAATAATTAAAGAATTGGATAATAATATTCTAAGCTTTTTGCCACTTTTAGAAAGTTTTCTAACTGAAAATAATTTGGAAATAGAAGAAGAATTAGCATCCGACATTAAAAATCACTTTTTTCATTGATAAATAATTTCAACATGTGTTTCCCGGAGGATTATGAAAAAGAAAATTGGATTAGAAAATCCATTTTATTCAAATATGCCTGAAATTTTATCTTGTAAAGAAAAAAGAACAATTGATAGAACTCTAACTGAAGAGTTCAAAGAATAACACACTTGTTAACTTTTCGCTGAACCTTAAAAAAGAATTTAGAAGCATTTCAAATAAAGCTAATTAAACTTTTATTGCCTTCTTGCACAATCTATATGTGTGAACAAGAATTTTTTTCCAGATTATATTTAAAAAATAAGTACAGAGCAAAATTTTATGCGAATTGTAATTTGCGCTTAAAACTAAGTGAGATAAGACCAGACATAAAGAATTTGATTTCTCTTAAACAGGCCCAAATTTCACACTAAATTTTAGAATTAAAGAATTGTAACTTAAATTTTGATGATTAAAATGGTAACCAATTTATAATCTTATATTTTTATGTGTATATATTTAATTCAAATAGCCAATAGGTAGTGCAAATGGCAAAATATTTTTTAGCCCAAAGGGCGTTAGATCAGAAGGTCTATTAATTTCAAAATGGCATTTTGCATCGATTCACTTTTCAAACTGTTGCCACCAAATATTATTGCCATGTATAAAGAAACCAAATAACAAAGAATCTGCATGAATGTTTCTCGCATTCTGAAAAACCAACAGTACCTAAGGCCATCAAATTTTGAATAACATAGTCTTCCAACCAAACATGGCCACTTGGAAGCTCTATTTTGAATATTAAATTTGTTTTTTAATCTATTTCAAATTTTGCAAAACTTTAACGAATTTTTTATTAACAAACTCAACAATTGCAAAGCAAGCAATGGCAACACTGTATGAAAAACATTTTAATCTCCAGCATGCGAGACTGTTTTGCTGTTTTTTGAATATTTTTTTATATTGCTGTTGAATTTTATGTATTTTCGAAGAACATAATATTTAATAAATAAAGGAAACACACAAACGTTAAAAAATACCCTTCTGGGTGTAATATAAAATCTGAAAGCATTCAGATTTTCTTTCTTTCTTCTTAGCCCAGAAGGCCTATTAACTTTGTTTTGGTATTTTTCATTTAAAACATGAATGTCCGTTTTATTTTTCAAATTTTTGCCACCAAATATTATTGCCCGGTGTTATATTTAAGGAAATTAAATAATGAAGAATCTGAATAAATGTATGTATGTTTCTTGTATTGTGATAAAACAATGGTGCCTAGAGCCATCAAATTCTGAATAACATAATCCTTCAACTGAATATGGGCATCTAGAAGCCCTAATTTGGAGCTTGAAATTTGTTTCATTATCGTTTCATATTTTGTAACAATTTAACCAAATTTCGTTTAACAAACTTGACGCTTTCAAAGCGAGCAATGGCAACACAGTATGGGTAAAACAACATTTTTATTCGCATAGAATACTATTGGAAATTCTAAAGATATGCTCATTTTAATTATTTTGCAATATTGCTGTTGAATTGAATTTTATGGTTTAAGTGCGAAGAACATGATATTTAATAAATAAAGGTAAACACAAAAGGTTAAAAAAGTCCCTTTGGGGGTAAAGTCTTCAGATTTTATTATTATTATTGTTTAATATTTCTATTCAGAAATTTAAAAATAATCATTGTAAAATGTAGTGGGGGTACTGAAGGTTTTCAATTTTTGTTTATATGGTATGCGTTAGTCAAAAGGTTGAGTTCCACTTGCTTAGTGTGGTAGGTGACGTACCAAATGCCGACAAATTCCTGGCAACCCTTAGTGTATAGATAGGGAAAAGAGTAACAAGACAATTGAAAGGAACAAAACTAACATGAGAACTCGCGATGCTGTCTACCATAGACGCATACAAAAAGTTATTGAAGAAAATAACTTAAACTCTCACACATATCAACTCTAACTGGAAAAGTCGTGAAGATTGTAATACATGGCTTACGTGTCACCACAGAGCACCTATATTTTACACAAGAACTGCGCAATCAAGATTTGAAGCCACCTTCCTAACAAACCTCAAGAACTGACATGAAATTAAACCTATGCTTCTGTTCCTTGTACATTTACCAAAAAATGAAGAAACCAAGGAAATATATAACGTATATTGACCATCTTAGAGTCTCAGTGGAATCACTTTACCAGAAACCCCGAGCCCCATAGTGTCAGGATTTTCCACAACTTGCTGCTTTCTACAAGTGATTGGGTATGTGTACAATGTGGTGGACCCCACTGCTCCAACTCCAGAAAAAGCAAACTCAAATTTGAAGACCCTGCCAGATGTTACAACTGCGGAAGGCCCCTCCCAGCTTCTTACTCTGGTTGCCCAGCTGTACCTAAAATATTAAAAAGAACCACAAATAGCTTCATCCCAAGCCAGCCACTAGCAATCAACCCAAGGAATAGCATTGAAAACTTTCCTTACTGGAGCTCAAGCTACAACCTAGACTGAATCTTCAAGCACAACCTTGAATTCTGGCAAACTATTCAGCCTTAAGTCCATTAAAACCATATGGGATAATAATGCAGAGAATCAAAAATCTAAAAAAACTTCCTTCTGGACAATATAGAAGCAATTGCAGAAATAATTGATAATGTCAGCAGACATCTTTAATCATCACGCTACTAATAGCAGATTCTACGGCATCCTAACATGGAATACAAATGCACTGTTTGGCAAAAAAGATGAATTAATCGATTTAATCATTGTACTTGAACCAGATGTCATCTTAGTTCAGGAAACTCATCTTAAACCTGCAAAGGCGGTACTCTTTCCAAATTACTTCGCTTATAGACAAGATAGGCATATAGGACATTGTGGTGGGGTAATCCTGTATGTTAAAAGTAGTATCGCGCATTTTAGTAAACCGTTTTTCTCAAACGTAAACACAGATGTAATCATAACTATTGACAACACCTCTGTTGCTATTTCCAATGTAAACATACCTCCCATTAACCACTTAAACAACACAGAATTCAGATTTGCTTCCTTCACATCTCATTTCAATCGCTGGAGGCGACTGTAATGCAAAACACTCAAGCTCGAATCCCAGGCATGCAAACAGGAATGGCAACCTATTTATGATTTAATTGACTGAAATCACTTTACCATAAAAGCGCCAGATGAGCCCACTCATTTTTCACTAAACAGGTATACAATTATAGACTTTTTCACTGCCCATAATTTTCCATTTCTGTATATCACCTCAATTCCTGTTCCTTCCTCTGATCACAACCCCATTCTCATTAAAATCTTTACCAATTCAACCCCCTTCCCTGTCATGCACAGTCAATGTTACAAATTGGCCCAAATTTACAAATTGACGCTGATAAAGAAATTGACAAGTTCACAAATCATATTCGTAATGCATTTAATAATGCTACCAATACATTCTATATTAACAGACAATTTCTGCCCCTCCCATACTACGTTCAAGAACAAATTGTTACAAAAGTAGAATTCGTAAAATATGGCAAAATGCAAGAGATCCGCAAATGAAACAAAGATTAAAGTGTCTCCAAAGTATTAAAAACACAATCAAAGCATTCAGGAATACATAGATCATGTTACTAACACAGTTAATAATTACCTCAATTTCCCCAGTCCTCTCAATTTCATATTTCTTTCCACACCTTCGCTCGTTGCCCAAATTATCAGCACAATTAAAAAAGTTTCAGGACAGGATTGTATTCCCAATAAAGCCGCAAAGCATCTGCCCATTAACACAATTACCTGCTTCACAAAAATAAGTAATGTCATAATAAAATTATCATATTTCTCCATAGCCTTCTCCTTACCTCAAATTTTTAATAATACTGAGATAGGCTGTGCCCTATATGCTTAAGACTTGGTTATCTGCTCATCAAGTATTCATAAAAAAATATTTTTGGTCAACAGATTAAATGATACATTAAGAAAACTTTCTACATGGTGTGAGTATACTGAAATGGGAGTTAATATTGAAAACACATGCTGTCAAACATTTACACTAAATCAACAAGAAACTATAATGAATTTAAATTATAAAGACAAAATTTATTCGAGAGTCTTACAGTATGAAATATCCAGGCATTACATTTGGTAAAAAATTATCTTGGTAAGAACACATAGAAGATATCGCAAAAAATGTAAGAAAGAGGTCGGTACTTTTCCGTTTTGCCGGTGCAGGCGATAAAGTCACCAATAATGGTACAACCGATGCAAAACAGAATATCCTCACTGGTAACCTTTTACTCCTCATTTTCAAAACAAGCCGCAACCATTTCTTATCATTTTGATTGTTTCTTTCAATGCTGGCTTACAATTACATAGAATTTTTACCAGATAGTTCAATGTTATGCCCTAAGGCCATTTGCGGGTGATAATTAAGTCAATTAGGATGCAATCCCATCGCTCAACCGCTGGCGAAAATATAGAAAAAGCAAAGTCAAGGGTTAAATTCATCAATTCTAATGAGAATGCACTAGTGAAGTAAACCTCCATGGTTTTACATAATTTCTGAGTAAACTATTCGTACGAATAGAAATAATTCTTGCATTTAAACTTGTATTTCAAATTAAGATTTAACTTGAAATTAATGTAGATAATTACTGAGAGAATTAGATTTTTGTAGCATAGTTTATGTGAGATGAGATCACTTCGGATCACAGGATATGAACTGGCAAATCAGGATGTTGTACCCTGAAAGCACAGCAAATTCTTAAATTAAAGTCTTTTTACAAATTTATTGTTTTTATTTATTGGCCTTTTTGACAAAGTTTTAAACATTAAAATGTAACCTTCAAAATAAAAAAGTTCTTAGAACTAACATTTGTCAGCATTTTTTATGTGTATGCTGTGTGTTGTCACCAATAAAGTCTGCTTGGTGAGATTTGTGCTGGCGAAACTGAAAAGTACCAAGAGATCATTAGTTTTGAAAAATCAATGGAGTTTGATGGAGCTGTGGTAGAAATACCCTTAACGTGACATGTAATATGTTTATCAAACCTGTCTTGACATATTATTCTGAAGCTCTTCTAACTTATAGTATTAATCTAATGACAGATCTGGAAACTACCCAAAACCATGTTCGAAGATTAATTGTGGGAGCAGTAAGAATCCCCAATGAACGCTGTGCTGTTATTCTAAGCCAGTGGTGCCCAACCTTCGGCCTCTAGTGAGCACATTTTGGCCTATCAAGAGCACATTTCCAAAACATCGAACATTTTTTTAAACATATTTCCAATCTTACGTGATACATCTGAAATATTAATTTTCGCAATTGGGTTAGAGATGAACAATAATATTGGTTGAACTTTATGGAAATCAGAGAAGGGGAGTTCAAAATTATTTTTCAGTGCATTTAGGTTTTCTGAGTATTTCTCTGTTTCAATTGCCTTGTGGTTATTAATATGGCTTGATAAATTCTGAAAGTGAGTGAAATTGTTTTCTTTCATCTGATTTATCCACAAATTTAACTTTATCTGAAAAGCAGAGTCCCAGTCATTTGAAAAAGGTTTTTTTCCCCCCTGGAGATCTTCGTTCAGTTTAGCTGTTATATCTGTGAGAAAAGATCAGATAACCAGTTATTATTGTCCAATTCTTTATAACTTTCGTTTCCAGTTTTTAAAAAACTGCTTTATTGGCGAAAGAAGTTCTACAAAATCGTTGGAGTGCTTTTTGCTTTACTCCTTGCTGAGCCATCTAACTTCGGAATGAAGCAATAAGATTCCATGGTCGCTATCAGGTTCATCAGTCAGCAATCAATTATTTTATAACGTTTTCTAAGATATCTCTATGCTATGACTATAAATGCTTACCATATGTTAACAATTAAGAAATATAAATGAATAGTTACTTTTTATATATTTTTTGTTCATAGTACCTAATCGGGCTGGCGAGCACATATAAAACGATCGTCAAGCACAGGGTTGGGCACCGCTGTTTTAAGCCTTTTGAAGAAATGAATTCATCAGAAAGCTTTATGTTTATACAAAAAGTTTATTTGATTACCATCAAATTGTTTTAGGGGAAATTATGGTTACAATCAAAACAGAAGACTGAAAACGTAAGAAAGTTTTATACAAAAAGTTGTGAAAATTAAAAATGAAATGGGCATACCAGACAGCCTGGAAATTTTACCTCTTCCAATTAATCCTTTAATTCCCCTTGTGAAGGATAGAATTCATCTTACTCAAGTGGTGCGGAAAAAAGATGTTTCTGATTCATTCATTTTTAACAAATTTAAAGGCTGTTTCTCTGGAAGTTATAAATACCAGATATCCTCGGCCTGAATGGCTACATGTGTATACTGACAGATCTCAGTTTGACCAAGGGGAAAGTGCAGATGCTGAGATATTTACAGAAATGTTTGCATTCTCTGTATAGTCAAATACCATGCCATTTGATGGTGAAGTTGAAACTATTAGACTGGCCAGTCAACTATTGACAAGAGTGGAAGACTTTGAGAATGTCATTATATTGTCCGATTACATCTCAGCAATCAAAGCAGTTTCATCTCTGGATTATGCAGATTCTCAGAGACTTAAAAGTTGCAAAGAGAATTTGGGTTATTGCTAACCTTGAAAACAAATATTGTACTGCAGCAAGTGCTTTGACATTGTGATATGGAAATGAGATGGCTGATCTGGGAAAGAAGAGGCAGAGGTATTCTGCAATGCACATAAAAAGAGATCCCATACTCTTCAATAAATAGGATAATCAAAAATACTTTGAACAAGAACTGTCAGCCAAAGTATCTGAACTTATTAATGATAAAACTTAGAAAGAGACTTGAAGGCATTCCTTTTTTTAGCCTGAAGGCAGAAACAGCATATGAAGATGGCCTTCAGGTTAAAAATAGGCCAAGCACGTTTTTTTAATTGTTTACCCAGTTTTGTAATGCTGTAGCCCAGATTATTTCAAAATCATAAAAGTCAGATTTGCTGTGTTATATCTGTGAAGAAGTTTAAAGCTCATTGTCATGAATAATATGTCATTATTTTTAAAACACTTTCTAATTCAAAGTGCGTTTTTATATATGTATACATGTTGTTGCCTTTGTTATATGATAAAGAAAGTTTAATATGCATACTTGATTCATTTTTTGAAACTCTAGTAATGTGATATAGATTTTCTTCTTTTTCAATTTTATGCCTAACAGTGTTATTGAATGAAGGTAGGAAGATTTACTTCTGCATTTCTTAATGACATTTTTTAATATTTGTCTCAAAAAAGCAAAGTGGGAAAAAAGTATTAAATTTTTTTCAGTTAAATTGAATTAATTTTAAACTTAATTTTGTGTCATTATTAATGATTGTTTTAGGTATAGTTTCATCTAAAAATTAAAGCTTAAATGCTCTGAATGTATTGAAAAAAGGAGATAAAAAATTGTAAAATACTACAAAATCTGAGTTAATTTTATTTCTGTGACATTAAGTTCAATTTATGAAGTCAAATATAACTTACTTTTAATTAAGTATGGTAAACTTTTTGTTAATTTCTGAAATATTTTTCTTTTTTAACTACTGTTTCTAAAAGATTAAATGAGAAGAGGAAAGCTCAAAAACTCTTCTCTTCCCCACCCCCTAAAAGAAAAACTCTCTGTTCTTTTTTTTTTTTAAATCATTTGACTGCCTCATATACAACTGATATTTAATTATGCACATTCTGATAAAGGAAGCCTCCGACTAGCCAATTTCACTTGAATTTCATGTAGTTGTAAGAGCAGTGCATTTATGATAACCTAAAATGTATCTCAGAAATAAGCAAAAATCCAAGTCTAAAGTTCTGCATAACAGAAATATTTTGAGTTTTGACTGTTAAAGACTGTTGTGGCTTATTGGTAATGCATAGGGGTTTTAGTGACAAGGTATGTAATTTCAAACCCAGAGCAAGTTCGATTTAATACTTTTCTTTGTTGTTTTGTATCTTTTATTTGCATTGCAATGGATTAAATTGGGAATGGATTTAAAAAAATGCATAAAACGACATGTAATTTCAAGGGTAGTTTTTCTATTTAATATTTGTAATTTATTACAATTTTTGTGTATGCCTGCTTTCACAATTATAATGGAGATACTTGTTATGAAAAAGTTTCAGACTACAGTGTAGTTCAGCATTGCACCCAGTGAATAAATTATAGCCTATTATACCTCAACTTTTTGGGGGTGAAATTGTCCTGCAAAATGTTAAAAGAAAACATGAGTTGTTAAGATTAGTTAGAAGTTCCCCGTTTTTCACTAATCCTGGTATACATATGTATTTCAGAATTCGCTTCCTCCTCTTCAATAAACATCCAATTGTATGTTTATTAAAAAATAATGATTATTGGCATTTTCACATTGAGTCAATTTCCGGTTTTAGAGCAATTTAAAAATGAGCTTTCTGTATTGTTTGATAAAAATTTTGACTTTATTGTAGACTAAGCATCGGTAGACTGCCTTAAAGAAATGTAAGAAATTCATAAATACTTGGTCATTAATGCCACAGAAAATTAATTCCATTTTTTGTGCCATTTCTTTAAAAATATCTTTTTTGAATAACTTTTTCAGCAAAATGAAGTAAAAATAAAAATAACATAAAAGAAGAAAGAGAAGGAATTATGTGCTTTAGATCTTGAACCATTTTTCCTCTCAAATCATTGACTTATTACTATTAAGACACTGGACTATTACTGGTAACTTTAGACTTGATTTTTCTCAATTAATTCTGTCACTTGCAAGCACACTGTTTTTAAGCTTCCTTGCGATAATGGTAAGTTGGGAAAAAAATCAGTGACCCAAAGGTTATGTGCTCACCTTATCTGTAGAATGCTAAATTTATTTACCCCTTGAGAAAGTGAACTTCATTATTTAATCTAAATTTCTTCCAGTTTCAGCCTTTGTTTTTATTTATAAGTTGGTAATCTTTTTTCCCCTAGATTCTCTTGATTTTTTTACACTGTTTGTTTATTTTTACCATGTGTGGTAGCAAATTTTAATTCTCGTGAGTAATTTTTTTCTCAGTTTTCCTAATTCTTGTGGAACCTCAAAAATATTTTGAATAATACATTAATATTCTTCTGCTGCTGTCCAGAGTTTTAACACTTTTAATTTTTTTATATAAAACTGATTGTGATTACATCTATTTGTTTCAGATGCAGGGAGATAAGCAAATCTAATAAAAAGGCAAATTTAATTTGAAGACTATGCATAGAACTTGTTTAAAATCCTTCTGTATGCTCATTATAGAGCTAAATGCCCATGGTTATATAAAAATGAACTGAAACTGAAAAACCAGTAGCAACTAATGAAAATCAGTAGATAAATTTTTGCACCTTAAGATTTGAAAATGACATACATGTGTAGCTGAGGGCCACGTGCAAAGTGTTTTGCATATTACCAGGTTCATTAAATGAGAGAAGGTAATAATAATTAATGCATAATTTTCTTCATTTATTCCCCAGAAGTAATCCATGTAGGAAATAATGTGCCGAGAACAGAGTTTAGAAATTATTAATGTGGTAAAATGAGAGATTTGGGAATAAGAAACATTATTTATATATAATGCATGTGTAGTGGTCACAAAACTAAGTGGCTTGTAAAGACAAACTACTGAGTTTTTTGTAGTAACTGTGATTCTGTAGATTAATCTAGTAGATAGCCCAAAAAAATTTCCGAATGTTGTCTGGTGATCATGGCAGCTATTGAGAATGGATACATCACTAATCTACTTTCTCCTTAGGATTTTTAGTATGAACATGTTCTTTAAAACAAAATTAATTCTAAACATAAACAGTGATGTCGGTTGCATCGAGAAAATTATTTCATTATACTTGTTGCCAAATTTGCTTTGGGGCTACCTAAAAGTGAAAGGTATCACCATAGGAAAATTTTTCTGAATGGGTCGTACCATCTTTCCATAAGCTGTTTTAGCTCAAACTACTCTGATGTTTCTATCTTTACCTGGGTATATGTCAATCATCTTACCCATCGGCCAGAATGTCCTCCGTTTCCCTTCAGTTTCTATCAGGATGAAGTCTCCAACTTTTGACGGGAAACAATTAGGCTTTTGCAGACATTGAAACAGTTGGCCATGATACTCACTCCTAAATATCTTTCTTAAATTATCCCTGAAATCTCGTTGACATCTTAACCTTTTGTTAAGGTTAATTTTATCAATATGATCTAAATCAGGTTTTCCAGCATTTCTAGTTTCTCCCAGAAACATTGCTGGGGGTCAATAGGATAAGGTCTTCTAAATTATCGAAGGTATATGAGAGTGATCTATATGAAATAATGAGGGTGCACTTTTAGTTTTTGGAAACTATTCATTTATAATCATAGAATGTATTATATTAAAGAGAACTGCAATACCAACATAGTTATAATTTCATATCTCTATCCAAAGTGTTGCCAATTACAAGTTCCTAAATATTAAATGTTGCCATTTACAAACTATTAAATATTAAATCTTCCTTTTTTTTAAGGTTTAATTTTTTTTAGCAGTCTAAAATCAGTCCACATACCTAGCCGGCTTTCTAATCGCTGCCCCACTTCTAATTCTTTGCTCACCGTTCCTTGTTTCTGAGTTAGCAGAGTTTGGTAGTTGATCTTCTAAACTTTGCCCTTGAGAATATCTGGAATCATGACTGTATTCAAATATGCTCTACTTAAAGTGTCTGCTATTAATAAGTGTTTCCCCTTTTTGTATCGTGCATCTAGATAATATTTTTGTAAATTTAACAGCATTCTTTGCAATCGCTGTGGTGCTTTAAAAAGAAGTTTCTTAGTCGTGCTTTCTAATGGTCGATGATCAGTTTCAACTGTAGTACGTTTGCCATATATATATATATTAATGAAATTTAAAACATCCAAAAGTAATAGCTAAAAGCTGTTTTTCTATCTGAGCATAATTTTTCTGACTTTTTGTTAGAGCTCTGAAAGCATAAGCAATTGGTTCATTTTCTTGCAGTAAAACAGCACCTAATCCTTCAGAATTTAAATCTACTGAAAGAGTTATATCCTTATTAACACCATAGAATTTTAATCTGGGTGCTTTCATGACCAGTTCTTTAAGTGTTTCGAACGTTTTTGATGTTTTTCAGTCCAGTGCCAGAGAACATTTTTCTCAAGTAACTGTCTTAATGGTGTAGTAATAGTAGTGAACTTAGGAATAAATTTGGCTAAATAATTAATCATTCCCAAAAAATCTTTGTAGAGAAGACATGTCTGTAGGTTCTTGCATTTTAACAATTGCTTTAGAAAAATCCGGTTTTAGTCCATTTTCACTTAACTCATGCTCTATATAATTCACGCGATTAAATTTTATTTTACATTTATTAATGTGGTAAAATGGTAAAATATTTTGCCTTACGGAACTTCAAATTATTTTCTCATGCTCTTTGGAGTACTTTTTTAAGTCGTAGCTCATGTTCCTTTTCATTAGATCCCCATACATTCAACGCCTTCTAGACCTTCAATTACTTCGTTTAATTTTCTTTGGCAAACTTCTGGAGCTGATCATATGCCAAAAGGTAACCTTATAAATAAGAACCTGCCAAAAATAACAAAAGGTAACCTTATAAATAAGAACCTTAT